TGTGAGTAAAAAATTCACATGATATTAATATGCTTAAAATAACTTTTCTCAATCTATGCATTCATGAAGAGACTGACCATCCAAACTGACTCCCCATCTCTCTCGGGAGTCATTAGTTTTTGGTGTGATCCGCAGGGTTTCCTCCTTGAGCAGTCTATCCAGTTTTTCAGCCTGTACACCTTGAGACTGGCAGACAAGCAGAAACAACATTATTACAGGAGCTTTAACTCCACTTACCTCAAGAGTACCCATAAGGTTAGCATTAGATCAACAGGCAGGTCTGATTAAATGCTACAACATTTACAATTTACACAAAACACTAGAATTCTTTAGGGCTGCCACTAACAATTATTTTCATTGTCGACTAATCTGTCGATTATTTCTTCAATTAGTCGACTAATCATTTCATCGAAAAATGTGTTAAAATGTTGAAAAATGTCTCGCCAAACCCCAAAATTACGTCATCTAATGTCTTGTTTCATACTCACGCCAAAGGGTTTTAGTTCACTGTCATGGGAGAGTGTGTAAAGCTGCCAATATTTGAATGTAAGAAGCTGCAACAAGAGTATTTTGAGGTACTTTTATAGTACTTTTCTATGAAAAATGACTCAAACCGATTAGTTGACTACTAAAATAGTCACTGATTATTTTAATAGTCGATTAGTCATCGATTAGTCGACTAATCGTGGCAGCCCTACTAAGATTACTGAAGTCATGAGACGTGTACAACCAGGATATTGCCATCAAATGTGCCAACAAAACACATTTTAAACACTGAAACCTCATTTACTGAAGCTCAAACAGTGTAACAAACGGTTCTCTACCTGTGATGCCTTTATGGCACTGTGGGCCTCTGGTCCTACCTCTTCCATGTCATGACGAGGTGTCTCTCCATCGATGCTGTGAGAGCCATTTATCTCCTGCAGCACACTCTCCTGTTTAAGACTTTTATCTGTAGCAGAGGATAGGAAACATTTTACTTTTTTAAAATAAAATAGTATGAACATTACTGTTTGCACTTCCAGAATTTAGCAAGTCTCAGATGGGTGAAACTTTAATGGGTCATACTCCACCCAGGTGGCCTAACAAATTAAGATACTTAAAACAGCTATAACATATATATATGTTTGTAATAACTATGAATGTAATAACTATGTGTTATGTGAAAGAGGTCGCTCACAGTGATGAACTAAAAAAAAACTATCTGCAGCTCCCCTCAGCTCTACACAGCTTTATATTGACTTGCATCTCATTGTTTTGGTTTTCGAGCTGGCAGCTTCACTGTTTTGGTTCACTCTCACCACTCTTAAAGCATATTTTTTGACCACAACAGGCAGCTGTAATTAGCATATACCTCTAAGAACCTACTATACACTACTCCAAAAGTAGATCAGGAGCTAGAGCCTTCAGCTATCAGGCTCCTCTCCTGTGGAATCATCTTCCTGTTACGGTCCGGGAGGCAGACACCGTCTCCACATTTAAGACTAGACTTAAGACTTTCCTCTTTGATAAAGCTTATAGTTAGGGCTGGCTCAGGCTTGCCCTGTACCAGCCCCTAGTTAGGCTGACTTAGGCCTAGTCTGCCGGAGGACCCCCCCCCATATAATACACCGGGCACCTTCTCTCCTTCTCTCTCTCTCTCTCTCGTATTCTATTACTGCATCTTGCTAACTCGGCCATTCTGGATGTCACTAACTCGGCTTCTTCTCCGGAGCCTTTGTGCTCCACTGTCTCTCAGATTAACTCATATTGCAGCGGTGCCTGGACAGCGTGACGTGTGTGGTTGTGCTGCTGCCGTGGTCCTGCCAGATGCCTCCTGCTGCTGCTGCCATCATTAGTCATTAGTCATACTTCTACTGTTATTATACACATATGACTATTGTCACACATGTATACTGCCAGATATTAATACATACTTTCAACATATTGTACCACAGTAGCCAGAACTATAACTATAATATTATTACTTTCAATAATGTTGTTGTAAGCTACTGTTATTACCTGCATCTCTCTCTCTCTCTCTCTCTGTCTCTCTCTCTGTCTCTCTCTCTGTCTCATTGTGTCATGCGGATTACTGTTAATTTATTATGCTGATCTGTTCTGTACGACATCTATTGCACGTCTGTCCGTCCTGGAAGAGGGATCCCTCCTCAGTTGCTCTTCCTGAGGTTTCTACCGTTTTTTTCCCCCGTTAAAGGGTTTTTTTTGGGGAGTTTTTCCTTATCCGCTGCGAGGGTCATAAGGACAGAGGGATGTCGTATGCTGTAAAGCCCTGTGAGGCAAATTGTGATTTGTGATATTGGGCTTTATAAATAAAATTGATTGATTGATTGACTACTTGCACCAAATAGTAGACAAAGTTAGCAACTAGCCGGTGAACATTATGGAACATTTGGCAGCAAAAAAGACATGGTAGAGACCAAAAACAGAGCTAAGAGGAGGACTTTCACTCCATTATGCCTCCTCACCATTCTGTATAATAGGTATAATCGCAGAATGGGGTGACAGAGTTGTCTCGCCTTTAAGCCAGCATCAGCGGTAGTAACAGTGCTGATGTGAAGTCAGTATAAATGGGACAGTCAGCAGGACGGGATTCTGGGTGGCACAGGTGTGATGTTTTGACATGTTATGCATGCCATCCACTGCTAGAGATTTAAAAAGTATCGGATAGCAGTTAGCTGCTAACGCAAAGAAGAAGAAGTGTGGGCAAAAATGTAAGCAAATTGGGAAAACAATGAGGCCCAGGAGCTCCTTTACCTCCGAACAGAGGACAAGATCAGCTGCCATATAACAGGGATGGTAAATGTTTGTTATTGACATGTTACGTCATTGTTATTGTTAATAACACGCTGCCGACGCACATGTTGTATATCACATTAGAGGCAAACACTGGTGTGTTACATCTCACGCTGATCATGCTTCTTTTGCTTCCGCGATGGAAATCGGAGGATGGAACTGGGGCTGATCCCATTCCAGCACAACAAGTCACAAAACAAAGATGTTATTAACAATACCAATTCAAGCCAGGTTAGCCATTGTTAGCAATACTGGTTGACAAAAACACATTTTGCTGTAAACAAACACTGTAGTGACATGTCCACAGATAAAAGTTGGACAGCATTGTGTGTATGACTGTTATAGTAAATGCATGGAGGAGCCATGGATTAGGATTTTTAGGTTGGGGTTGGTGAGGTTCCTCCAACTTTCCAAGCCGGTAATCCAACTTTAGGGGGTGTTGCAGTTGACATTTCCGACTGGGAACTCAAAAATTCCGACTTCCCAATACAAATGGAATACACCATATATACACATGCCGCAATCAGAGACCAACATCAGCATTCATTTGGAGTCATGTTTCTGGCTGTATTATATGGTCTCAACAAAGTATTGAAAGAAATATCTGACTCTTAAACTGCTAAATGCTCCACTAAGTTCACCATGAATGTTTGGTGCAGAATAGGTAGTTTATGGTGGGTTTATATGTGGGTTTTTTTTTTCTGAACAGCTGCCTGCTGCTGCTGCTGAAGCCAAAGCAGGTAAGAGCGGGGAATGTGAACTAAACAGTGATGTTAAAAGACATAAAATATTCTGTGGAGCTGAGGAGACCTGAAGAGTTGGAGCAATTGTCATTAACAGCAACTTCTTCACATTCCACATGGTTTTTGATTAATTGACAATATAAAAACATTGATCTGTGCAGCTTTAAAGCTGTTGCAGAGCACTTTTGTGGACTCAATCTATTATCAGTTCATTTCCAGCCAATTTTTCGTTGACACATAATTATCAAAGACCTTTCCCATCTATGATTTCTAACTTTTTAAGAGCTCGGGTTAGGTGATCAAGTAGGTTTTTTGTGAATCATTTATAACAACGTGTGTGCATTTAGCCATCCATGTGACAAAATTAATATAGGAAATTAACAGTGTCTAAAAACAGCCTAGGTGAGTAACACCAGACAGAGTCACCTGCGGCGCTGTCCTCACCGGACGGCCCGACTCGTCCGCAGTCAGTACATCTGCCCCTCCTGTCTCCCTCTTTCTCTTTACGGCGACTCTCCGACCACTTCAGTCGCCTCTTCAGAGACTCGACCTGCTCCCTGCACCGTGTCACCTCTTCCAAAAAACTGTCCTCCACCAGCCGGGTGATCTCATACATGGCAGCTTTAAAGACCGTCTCCATGACACCAGAAAGTTGTGACTGAAACTTTACTATAGATTCAGCCATTTCGCCAAGGGTGTGTGATAACAGTCCTTTATTTTCAGTAAACAGGAGAGCAGGCACCTTCCGGCTGGCACTTCAGAGACTGTAGAGTGGCAGCTGGCGAGCACAGCTAACGTCGGTCTCTCTAAACTGGATGTGCCAGTGTCGCTAAACTCGGTTTTCTGTCTGGGTAACGGTAAACAGGTTGTAAACGTGTGTGGGTGGTCCACAGTTACCATTTAGTTACTTCCATCACACCAAACCCAGTGACAAACAAACTGTAGATTCGAGTAATGCCAACGTTAGCTAACTAGCTTGCTGCACTAGTTGTGATACAGAGTTAACGTTACTGATTCAGACCTCTAACGTCACGTTACGATAAGTGATTGTGGGGGGGAAATACCACATTTAAAGCACATATAGTTTCTGTTTAGTGCAAAGTAAGTTTAGTAGAAAAAGTAAGTCAATTTCAAGGCTATAACTTTACGTTACAAATTCCGCTGAGCTTTCGCATTTCCGTTTGATTCCGTAAACAACCGCACTTCCGAGATTAAAACTACGGCTCCTGAGTTAGGACAAACTTGATCATTTCAGCATTATGGGTCTCAGTTAAAGAATGACGCTTCCTCATCGAGATTGGTACATAAATCGTTAATGTTAATTAATCACTGACACATGTGCTAGGTTATTGTTTCCGTTCAAACGGACTATATAACGTTACAAAACACACAGTTTGGCATAGAAGTGAATCACCGGATATTTGCTCAACTCCCTCCTTCCGCTAAAGTGCGTCACACAAAGCAGCGCTTCGGTCTACGGGAAGGAGCCATGTTGAACCATATCCCAATACCGTGTTTTTAATAACGTTACGATAAACGTAGCATCGAAAGTGGACTCATATTGGAACTTGGACGAAGGGTTAATAATACCAAAATGTCAGCGGATGATTTTCAGACAAAGTACTCCTCCGTTATGGAGAGCATGCTCAAGGCTGCAATCGCTGAGACCACCAAACTTTTTGAAACTATGGTCGATGAGCTGAAAGCAGAAATCTCTAGAATCAAGAGGGAGAACGAAGACCTTAAAACAAGATGCAGCCAACTTGAGAATGCGGGAAACCAGCCGACCGTTGTCAGCCGAGAAAGTGAGTCTGTTGCATGGCCGAACGGCGGCAGTGAAAGACGTGACCGAGCTGTTCAATGTGGTGAGTTGTGATGCCCGTTACCCACCATAAGCTTGGTTATCCTAACCAATAGAATTGTTTGATATGCTATATGATTGTTAAGCCAAAATGATGGGTTTGTTCCCGTTATGTGGGATACATATGGCAGCTCTTTTCTATGGATGTGTCAGTACCGTTAGCTTAGCTCAGTCTTATCGGAAGCGTGGGATCCAAAATGGGAGGGAAACCATACAATGCTATCCTCGCTACTAGACTGGTAACAGCGTGTTCAAACGACAGTGGCAGCCTATGACCGGTTGTGGACATTGTGGTTGTGTACAGTACTATAGAGAAGACAAACAGCAACGTTATTCGCTTTACATGGTACATTCAGTGACATTTTGACTTATTACTTGAATTGACTTTTCTGCCATCACCTTTCCTGTTCTTTTCTTGTCTGCTTCCTTTATTCCATATTGTCTACTGTGGACATGTATGTGTGCAACAATTATGGGTAATTCTGGACTATTTTTGCTGACATGGGCTCAATACATCATCTTTGACATTTTTAAGTAAAGACATACTTGTTTCAATTCAGAAAAAAATGTCACTTTCACCTATTTTTTGTCTCATTTTACCTGAGTGCATTAAGCAAACTCTCAAAACCATTTCCCATGAAAAATTAAAGTGTATTTGATTATAAGTTGATCATTTATTAAAATACAACATCCTACAACCAAATGTGTTATTTTAACTGCAGCACTCTTATTACCAGAAAAAGAAAGTCAACATGCCACATGGCTTTCCTTTGAAGTTCTGGGACCAGTGACTTTTTTGACTCTTTGCTCTGCGCATACTATTTGTCTCATATAAAGGACATTTGTACTAACAATGCAGTAACATGTTTGGTGGCTAGTTGCTAATATTGAGAGAACTCACGATATAAAAACCTTATTTGTCCCATTTTATCCCAGTGTCCCAAATTACCTGACTAGGTTTGCAGCAATATAAAGTATACTGTGATTTAAAATTTGATGGTGTGATGGTTATCACACGATGTACGCTTGCTTATCTACAATATTTTGGGAAAAAATAATAAACAAAAAAACAAAACAACTGGACGGAGAATCTTCCCTACTTTGTACACATACTTTAACATGGTTTCAGTTATGATAATAAAAAGTTTGTCCAGCCAGTAACCCTTCCATTTTCATCCCTTTAAGGGTCATTCTGACTGATAATAATATAAATTCTTTAATAACACAACACCATGATATTTCCGAGATGGTTATCATACCGTAAAAATCTCATGCCATTGCAACCCTAAACCTGACCTCACCCTACATGAATCTACTTTCAAAAACATCATGTGGTTTATGACCTTTTATGAAAACATGTTTCACATGACTACTACAGCTTGCGCGTACCGGTGTTCATCTCTCCTCTCTCACAGTCTATGCACAGCTCCGCCCCACTCACTCACAGTTTCTCCATCAACACTAAGAGAGACCCAGAGCTGCTACTCTGTTTAATCTGTCTGTTAATTTGTGTACTCTGCGACATTGGTCTATATGTTGCACATGCTGCGTGCATTCCAGGGCTGCTAGTTTATGTGTTTGGTGCTATGTGCAAAAATTTTAATGTACAGCTCTGCTATTTATTTTATATAATTTTTCATGTACGGCTGCATATTTTCAAACGGGAATAAAATCCCTGTTGCGAGAGTGGGAATGGATGAGCAGATGAGCAGCAGAGTTCTGGATGTATTACAGTTTCTTTACAGCTTTGGATGATGTACCTACCATAAAGAATGCTGTTACAGTAGTCAGTTCTGGATGTGATGAAGGTATGGATGAGTTTTGGCAGCAGAGGGGGAGAGTGATGGGCGGAGACAAGCTATGTTTTTTAAAGGAGAAGTCCGGTATTTTGCACTTTGAGCCCCATTTCTGGGTTGTTTATGATGAAATAGAGTGGCTCAGACCAAAATAGTGACGATTGCTCATTTTCTGAGAATTTGGCTTTCCCCTGCCTGGCTTAACACTACTGCCTATGGCCATGTGTGAACCTGTCCTAAAACCACCCTAAACGTTTGTTTTCAAAGCCATGAAACTCACCGGGTGGTCAGTGGTGTTCATTGATGTTCTGACATAAAAATTGTCGCCGTAGCCTACACCATAGCTTGATGTGCACCTCCCCAGAAATGTAACTACATGCTGTGGTAATGTAGACCTCCTGTTTATTTATGTAAGCTGAAACCATTTTCCTCAGTAGAAACGAAGCTTTCATTTACTTAAATTTCACAGATAACAAACAATAAATTGTGTACATAATAAAGCCTCCACAAAAATAGCATTTTAAGTCCTGTGTGTGATCATCTTAAGGGATTTTTACTTCAGGATTTATCCTGGCTTCATATGAGCAAAGGAAATCTCCGCTCATCGCTATTTGCGATTTGTGATTACAAATAAATGGTATCATGAGTCTTCTCGCTTGATTCAGTGTTTCCCCTACATTATATCGGGGGGGCACTGACCTGACCTGACATAGTTATTGTCATGGACAGTGTAAATAACCATCAACAGACTGCTGTTACACACAGTCAAACAGGCTGCTCGCACAGCAGCGCAGCGCAGCACCGTACACACACACACACACTCAGTTGCCTGTGTTGCATTCAGGCATTGTCACGTAAATGACAAATTCCAGCAAGTGAACAGGCCGTAACACAACACAGCAGCATGTCAAGTGGGACGAACCCAAGCAAAATTGCTCAGTTTTTCATTTGTTATTATTTAGTTTGTTATGGAGTCCGTGATTTCCCTGTGTCTCTTTTGAGGACTTGTCATATGGCGTGACACTTACGAATGTTTGCGCAATTGTGCTTCGTTGTTTTATGAGGCTCTGGTGGCTTTCAGTTGTCTTTGTCTTTAATGTTACACGGCTTAGCTTTCTCTCGCATGCATTCTTCCTACCTTTCCCTGTGCTGTCTCAAGTGCTGATATAGATTGGTCGTGTTGCTGCGGGACGTGGCGATTTTAACTTTTAAAATTTTACACAGCACGTCTTACTGTTCAACGTCGCCGTACCTGACTCCAAAGTATCGCCATTTAATAGACGTTGTGTTTTTTCACCACCAACTCAGCCTGTTCATGGTCGTGCTCATGTTCTTCTTCAGCGTCTGTGTTGGTCACTGCTGCATGCTGGCTGGTCACCTGACTATACGTGCTGCACACACCAGGATAGCTTGTGGGCGTAATGTCAACAAACTCTACACACTACAGGAGAGGCAGTCACGTTCACAGGCACACACGTTAACACTTATTTACATTAAATTGCAAATGGCAGCCTTTTATGCGGTTATGTAATCGCACAGCCTGACATCGCAATTGCAGTTGCAATTAGATTAATCGTGCAGCACTAGTTAGCACGTTATATTTGTTTGGAAAAAGTGTTTCGTATAAGACAGTTGTTTTGTCAGTGAACCTTGTGAGTATTAATAAAGTTGAATTTTGTAATGTTACCTTTTTTAAATGTTGCTGCTGTCCCTGGTTTCATATGAAGAGAGCTAGGCTAATTTATATGATGTAAAATGCCATAGGTTTGTGCTAATAACATTAGCATGTTGTATTTGTGGGGAAAATGTTCCAGATAAAGACAAGTGCTTTGTGTGTGAATACTGCGAGTTATAGTGAAGCCAGTTTGTGTACTTATGTTTGAAATTGTCTCTATTACGCTTTGTCTAATCTGTGTTTTGGGTGTGTTTTGAATTAACTAAACTTTACAATACTTCACAGAAACCCTGTCGCCGACTAGTGTTTTGGAGGTGTAACAGCAGAGTGACACAGACACACCACAGCACAAGTATAAATGCTCACATTGGCGTGGGCTACAGCGTTGGCTTTGTTGTAGGGTCTGCAGTACAAGTATAAATCCCACTTTACCTGTCATAAGGAAAATCTGCCACATTTGGCGCCTGGTTGGTATTAATTTAGAACCCTGATGTTGCGTGTAAACAAAATTATTTTGCTAATTCATCAAGTTTCTAGCAGTTTTTTTGCTATGTGTTGATGCATGTTCATATCCCAACATGCATGTGGTATGTATCACTCATAAGATTGGCTCCTGGCTTTTGTTGTCTGATCCTTTTGGACTGAGTTACCAGAGACCAGGCAAGTTGGTTCTTCGTAGATTAGCAGGCTTCTTTTCACTGTACTTACCAGGAATCTGACCAAATAGCATTTGGGGATTTAGTTATAACCTTTTCTGTTTTTTTTTGTTTTTGTTTTTGTTTTGTTTTTTTAAGTCCTAAAAAAACTTCTGTGTGTTCACGTTTACAGACCTTGTTCCTTTCCGCACGATGCTGGTGGAGCAATGTCAGCCGCTAAGCCACTCACCATTTCAAAACCAAGTGCAACGTTGCAGTTATGAGGGGTTGGAGTACAGTTTGCAGGACCACACCTATGGAGAGGGAACTACTCAAATGGCCTTTCTACTTGTCAAACAGGAGGTGCGTGTGTATCTTAGCTATGAACACACTTATCTTCCGATATAAGTCCTCTTGAAATTTAAAGTTTTGTCATCCCTCTGCAGGACGCTTATGGCGATTCTTCTCCACAGTATGTTCTGAAGCAAGAGGAAGATGAGCCCCCTGTGGTCTGTGGGCTAGTCTTGAGTGATAAAGCAGGTGAGGATTTTTTTATTTACTCAGCTAAAGTTATATCATCTAAAATTCACAAAATTTGTTGAGGATTACCATTCACCATTTTCACCTTTTTATTTCTTGCCATGTTTTCTCTGTCACGTCTCTATCACTGTGTCTAGATTCAACACAGGCCTCTGCTTATGGAACCGAAAATGAAGGGCCTTTCGTTAACAAGGAATGTTCAACTAGAGAAATACCCCTACCTCAAAAAGATGAAGAGACCAGAGTGGCCATGAAACTACCCTCTTTGGGAATGGATAGCAGTTTACAAGGAACCCAAAACCAATCGACCGAACTAGAGCATTCAGTAGTCATCTCACTCACTGCATTAACAGGCAACATGGAAGAAGAGTCTGGAATCAGTCAGAAGATGTCAGAAACAGAGGGAGAACTTGTAGCATCTGAAAAACACAGATTGGTGGTTGCTCAGCATCAATCAGAGGTTGAACCCCTTGAAAAAGAGCAACCATCAGTGGTCGCCAAACAGTGTCAAAGAGAGGACAAAATGTCAGTAAATGATCAAGCTGAAGTCACTCTGCAAGAAAATGCAGATGTGCACTCTACAGAGGAACAGTTGGCACAACCTACACCACTTAACAAAGGAAATGCATGTGAAAAATTAAAAAGTGGCGTGGCAGAAGGTGAGGCTCTTCCTCAGCCTGAGTCTTCAGTACGACGTAGAAGGGGACGGCCACCAAAGAAATCTAAATGTCTGCAAGAGCCAGTGAAAGAAATTGGTTCTCCAGCTGTTTCAGTGGCATCTTTGAGAAGAAGGTGTTCCTATGAAAAGGAAAAACTATCCGAATCTCAACAACTTTCAATGGAAATAGAAGAAGGAGCATTTCAAGCTCAGTCCACTGAAGTCTCATTGGCAACTGAGACAATTAACACTCCAATAGTTCAGTCCAGAGAACGCCGCACCTCTGTAACTCTTCAGGATGCAATGCTATTAGTTGAAGCCATGAATCAGTCAACAGGTCAAAATACATTCTCCTCTTCACAAAAAATGGCAGCACCTCCTCCCCATGTGGGCACGTTACCAACTGTGGATGAAGTCCCAGCTGAGCCACAGACACAGCTTCCTGTTGAGATTCATAAAGTTGACAGCAATCTATCCATAACAGAGCTGCCCACAACAAGACAATCGACAATAGAGAAACATGGTGCCGTTCCCGCTACTGCAGATGCCACTCAAAACAATGAATCTCAGGCCCACATTAAGGGTGTCATACCAAAACAACAGCACGCTGTCACTCCATCTAATACTGCTACATCAACTGCTGCAGCTCAAACAAGTATGCAGTCTCCTAAGCAGCACCCTCCTTATCCTCCGGTAACATCAGAGAAAGCACCCAGCAAACTGAGTGAGACAGTATCTCATAAAATACTTGTCATGCCAAGATCAGTGTCCTCATTAATACCTCAGAAAATAGCACCGCTGTCTCCAACCCAGCTTCCTACTGTTGTCTCAAAAGTTGTTGCTTCACAGAAAAATAGTATACCTCAATGCTCTACAGCTGCAGGTTTGCCTCTAGGAACACCTTCCCTTTCCTCTGGTCATCCAAAAAAACTGTACGTTACATCCAGGAAATCTCTTCCTGTTGTCACTTCACAGTCGACAGCCACCTCAACAGACCCGCAGTCTGGGACTGTATCACAACCAAAAATTACAATTATAATTCCAAGGCAGGTGTCAGCTGTGGCGTCAAGGAAACATCAGTCACAGGCCATTGTTTTGACAGCAAAGCAGGAGTCCACCAAATCAGCTCCTCTTACGGTGTCATCGCCACAGTTGATTTCTTTATCACAGGAGTTAGGCAATGCTGTGGATACACAAACCACTTCAGATGAAATAGCCACAATATCAACTCTAAAGAGACCGAATGCATTGGACAACTTGGAATCTCCCAAACAAACTGCTTCTGTTTCTGAAACGCCAACAGAAACTTTTTCCAGTGTGAACATGTCAGTTGAGCTAGTGTCTCCAATGACCACTCAACAAAACCTTTCTGCTGTGGTCAGATTAACCAGGCTCCCATTTCCAGTATCAGCCAAAGAAGCAGTCTTGGTTTCAGAACTGCCTACAGATGGATCTTCTGAAACACAATCCAATTTGAAAGAAGGTACTGCACAAGAGAAACCTTTGCCTGTAGTCATATCAACCACTGGCATTTGTCCCAATTTAAAAGGAACATCTGTTGCTCTGTCTGTAAATACCTCTCAGATGTCAGAGCCAAATGATACTCAAAAGAAGGCATCATTGCCCTCTGAAAACAGCAGTACTTTGGAAGAGTCACCCAACAGCAGGCCATCTACACCACCCAAGGTGTCAGTACCAGTCTTTGAGAACTCAGGAATAGCCAACTCAGTCAGCTTGACTGAACCTCCAGATGTATCTGGTACAGATGGTGAACCTCATTTGGACAACATTTCAGTGCAAGATTGTGCATTACGAAATGACCCTCCCATACATCTGACATCCATCACCAACAAGGACACATGTGACCCTCATTTACAGATGACTAAAGCCCAGTTCCTGGCACAGCTGGCAGTGTCACCTGTTACTCAAGACCCCAAAAAGGTATTGTGGTAATGCAACCCCCATCAAATACCACAACAAATACAGTCTACTTCTATGGGAAACGCTGCTTTGTGATTGCTCTGCATGTATTTATGACTTAATTTATTTTTCCTCTTTCCTTTTTGTTATAGGCCTCCTCTAATGATTCTGTAGATGCCACAGCTTCTTGTTTGATGACCAGCCCCAATTACAAGGAAAGGTTACAGAAAAATACCCTTGTGGCCCGACTCCGAAGTCATCTCAGAACTCATGCGCAAGCTAGAAGAACTGAAACAAATCCAGAGCTGCGCACAGAAACAGAGAACCCCACTGTACAACTGAAGAAAACTAGATTAGCGAATGACAGTCCAAATGATGAAAACACAGCTAGAGAACCTATCCCTATCAACCCAAAAAACCCAGGAGCTGAAGATGTTACATCAGTAAAAAAGACATCCAATGACCCAATTTCCATTAGTCCTAGGAAATCTGGACCATGTAAACAAGGTCTTAGACCCAAGAGGACTGTTGGTGAACCAACTTCTGTCAGTCCTAGGAGGTATAAGGTTACTAGTGAATCCACTCCTGTCAGTTCTCGGAGGAGTAGTTCAGGTAGACATGGTGTAGGCTCTAAAACTAAAAAATCCACTTCTGTGAGTCCAAGGAGGTCTAGCTCATCTAAAGAAAGGGACAGCCCTAAAAATAAAAAGTTTACCTCTGTAAGTCCAAGGAGGTCTAGCTCAACTAAAGACAGGGACAGCCCTAAAAATAAAAAATCCACTCCTGTGAGTCCAGGGAGGTCGAGCTCAATGAAAGACAGGGACAGCCTTAAAAATAAAAAATCTACATCTGTGTGTTCAAGGCAGTCTAGCTCAACTAAAGTAAGTGCTAGCCCTAAAAAGACCGAAAACATTTCTCTGCATCTTAGGAGGAGTACTTCACCTAGAGATGGTGCTAGCCCAAAAACTGGTGCAAGCCCTAAAAGTACTAAAACCACTTCTGTGAGCCCTAAGAGGACTAGTGGTACTAGTCCTAAAAAGACTAAATCTACTGCTGTTAATCCAACGACGTCTACTTTAAGTAAAAAAGGTACGAGCCCCGAAGTGTCTAGCAACGAATCAACTTCTTTCTGTCGTAGGAGATGTACCTTACCTAAAGATGTTTCTGTCACACAGCAGATTAAAAGAGAATCCACTTCCTTCAGTCCTATGTATAACATAACAATTGATGATGCTAGTGCTAAAAAAGCCACGAGTGAAACTAGTTCTTCAAGTGTTTTTTGGCTTAAATTGGCCGAAGATGGTAACAGTCCTAGAAAGACAGGGGAGTCAACTCCTGCTAAGAAACCCAGATTAATTCAAGATGATGTAGGTACTAAAAAGAATTCTAGAGGGGTGAATGCTACGAAATTAACAAAAGCAGCAAAAGACAAAACAATAGCTACAATGCAAAATTCTAGTCACTCAAAATTGCAGAATGGATCTAAACTAAGCGAGATAGCAGAGAACGGTGCTAGCTGTGAGGCTGTGAGAAAATGTACAGCTAAAGCTGTGTGGATTCCTCCTACAGTTGTAGCAAGTAAAACACCTCCTGCAGGGGGAAAGAGGTCCTCATTTTTACCTCCAACAAAAGAGGTAGACTCACAAAAATCTCAAGGTCATACAGCAGTTTACCCCCCAAGTGTTTCCCTCTTCCCCATACCTGTCAGAGCACCACCTGTTGTATCACCGTTACAGCCTTTATCAGTCATTGGAAGGCGTCTCCTCAAAAACCAGTGTGGGGAGTGCGGTCGTGTCCTCAGCAGCATCGCAGCCCTGGAAAGCCACGTTAGTCTCCACAGAGGTCGCCGACCTTTCTCGTGCACGCTCTGTGGTAAGAGCTTCCCAGATTCAAAAGGTCTGAAACGGCATGGGCGGGTGCATCGCAATGGTAGGATCCATATCTGTCAACAGTGTGGGAAGGGCTTTGTCTATAGTTTTAGCCTCACCAAACACCTCCAGATGGTGCACAGCAGGATTAAACCTTTTATCTGCCAGATCTGTAACAAGGGGTTCTTTACAAGACGAGATGTTGAAGCCCACATACGCATGCACACAGGAGAGAAACCATTCCATTGCAACCTCTGTGAAAAGAAATTTGCAAGGAGGGTAGAACTAAATGTGCATTTAAGGTGGCATAATGGGGAGAAGAGACACTGGTGCCCATTCTGTGAGAAAGGATTTTTAGACTTCAATAATCTGAAAAGGCACAAGTATATCCACACAGGGGAGAAACCACATTCCTGCCCACACTGCCCCAAGCATTTCACACAGTCAGGTCACCTGAAAAAGCATGTAAGGAATGTACATAAAATCCAGTGAGAGACATCTAAGAGGCCACCCTGTTCCGCGGAGAACATTAATGTCTTTTATAAAGAGAGGTATATTATGTGAATACACAGTGCAGAAGGGTTCCTTTTCTCTTTCTTCTCTTCTTTGCAATATATTTGTAAAACAAACACAACGGAGAATTGCAATCTTTTTTGCTGCTGTGTTAATCAGAGGATGTCTTTATGTTGTATTTTATAAAGGCTTAAAGGAGTAGTTCCTCATTAAAGGAAAGTATTGCAATGCCCTTTCATAACATGCCTGTTCAGACGCGACTCTTACGTGGCCTATAGTATTGCTGCTGGCAGCTTTCTCGAGAACCGCTCATCCAAACAGCATCCCACTCGACACTGTGCTTCCTCGGATACTGAGCAACGTTCCTGAGCCCAAAACAGCCATAGATTTATTATGAGATTTAGAAATGAGAAAAATTAAGTTGCTTTTCTGACATAATGCACCCCAAGAAAACACACAAAAAGCCCTCAAAGCACTTATAACAATGTTTTCCTCTGTACTTCTACTTCAGAGGAAAACATTGTAATACTACTTAAAGTTGTCAGAGACATGTTACCGTTTACGTTGCAAATTCAGAGTATATCAATTAAAGGAACAGTGTGTAAGAATTATGAGGATTTAGTGGCATGTAGCGGTGAGGATTGCAGATTGCAACTAGCTAAAACTTCTCCTGAGTAGAATTTCTTCAGAGTTCATTGTTCACAAGGTTTTGTATCGGGAGCCAAATAAAGCAGTTTCGGGTTACAAATGAGTTTCTCATACCCCGTTCGGTATTATGCAGACAGCCCGCTTGCCCAGCACCTGTAAATATTTGCTCACCAATTTTCTCCGAAAACTTAATATGTGCTCACCTTATTTCTGATCCAGACGTTAAGGAGGTTTTTACCAGGACCTAAATTATCTGCAGAGGTCTCTTCCTCTTCCAAAACAATCGGACCAGCTGTTTTAAACAGGTAAAAACACTGAATAAAGCAGTTTCAGGTTAAAAAAAAACAACCGTTTATCCGACGCTCTCGGAGTGGCTGTTAATCAAGGTGGTGGATGGGAAAACGCAAATGTCCCTATATAGAGCCAGTGTTTGGTTTTGTTCACTCTGGTCTACTATTGAAACATGGTGGTGCAACATGGGGAGCTCTATAGATGATTACCTGCTCCCTATGTAGATTAAAAACAGCTCATTCTGAGATAACAGAACATAAGAATTCTTATTTGAGGTGATTATACACTAAAAAAACTACTTGTATTTAATTTCTGCCACTATATCCCCCTAAATCCTGCACACTGGACCTTTTAAATACAAAGTATTATTGTTCACTGGTATTATTCAGAAGTATTATTATTAGAATTGAAACCTCCACCATTAACAGACGTCAATGTTAGTACATCACTGATAAGGCCTCTCTTTCACTTTTCACTTTGAGTTATAATGTGAATGTAAGAGTTACTGTGGGGTATTAAAAGATTTACTTCCAGAAAAAAAGTTTGGAGTACTTATACCACTGCCACTACCAACATTCCAAGTTAGAGTAAGGGTGTAGAGTAGAGCAAGACCGTGTTTCCCTGGGTCTCCAAATCCCTAAATCCACCCCTGAAAAACACACCCAAGTTGCAGCTACTCACGGACAGAATCATGGGTGAAATACACAAAGCTGTGGTATTATTTTCCACATAGGTGTCTTAGTCAGTAGTTTTGACATAACCACAGTGGTTATAAAATAGAGCATGAATATATTTAGCAGCAGGAAAATTATTGGTGCTAGTTTGTTTGGCAAAGAAAAACACACCAAGGATCACGGTTATTCGCCGTCAGAAACACCTGGGAAATACACTCAGCAAGACGTGCTCGACTCGGCACATCCATGAAGCCCTGCCCCCGCCCCTGCCTCTGCCTCTGCACAGAGCCTCAGACCTCTTGTTTGCTTGTTTATTTAAAGTTTATTAATATCAAACATGTTTTATGTCCAAATCACACCCAATTTGACAATGCATGTACTTGGGCACCCAGCAAATTACCTGCCAGATGTGAAGTAGATCAGATGAACGGTTCTCGAGATATACAAAGGGCAAAAAGACAGACAGTCTTTCAGGCTTTCTTGCCGAGAGTTCGATCAAAGAAGATAGATATTAGTGTCATGTCTGTGCGTTAAATAAGGAGCTGAAGCAAGATGGTAAATAGCGCTGTGTAAAAGACTGGAAGCAGCACCTCTAAAGCTTTGTGTAAATTGCGAATGTGTTAAAGAGCTTTAGAGGCTTTGGAAAGAGCTAGGCTTGCAGTTTCCCTTTGCTCACAGTCTTGCTAAGCTAAACTAATTGTCTTTGGGTTCCAGCTCCAGATTTAAAGCACAGCTGTGAGAGCGGTAACTCTCAGCATGTACACAAATAAGAGCATTTTCTTAATGTTGAACTAATCTTTAAAACATTTTTCTTTAAGGTAATGTGCACTCTTTACAGGGTAGAGAAAAGTGGGGAGATGAATGACGATGATGATCTCTGACAGTGTCTTCAACTTTGGTTGGTGGCTGAGAATACACACTTGTAAAAGTAGCATTTTTCCCCTCACATGGTAAATGCAAATTTTAGATAAAACTAATAAGTCTTTATTATGTTTTTTGATTGGCAAGACTTGTAAGATCACGTGAGAAACCATTAAAACAAAAACATTGTGCATCCAAACATTTTGACACAAATATTAGATGCAGTTTTGTTGTGCACACAGCCACAGGCTGTAATAGATTTTGTATTCGTAGTGAAAAATGCAAGGTAATCTGACACGAACCTGAAGTCTTTATTTATGTACATAGAACATCTGTTTTAGACATTTTAACTGTCTTACATTTTATTCTGTTGGTTTATCATAGTAACCCACAATGTAAGAGTATCATCAAAATCTGCTGCTGTTATATTACTTTAGAAAGTTCAATCATTTATTGACTTTTTTCCTTAGTTCTATAGCTACCAAAATCAAAATGGCCTGTATCTAATATCAGTAAACAAATATGTCATGATTCCCTTTTTTCAGTGTTCACAAGACATAACTGTGACACTTTAAACTGTTCCAGTGTGAGTTTGGAACATAAAGTTAAATGTATGAAAATTAGTTGACTTGTATTATTTAACTGTAAAAATGTCAATAATTTGAATACAGTGTAAATTTTTGATGTTTCTATTTCTTTCATAGCATCGCTTTTCACTGATGTAACAAAATGGCAATAAGTGTGCTGTACAAATTTTATTGCTTTGATAGGTCTTTTTTCCCCCCTCTGAAGGACATGGTAAAAGCTTGGTTCCATTTTTCAAAGTGTTGGCTACATCTAAACAATTGTTGCTGCAGACCATTCTGTGCGAATTCTAAAACCTCATTTGAGAAATTGTACATATTTTGAGTTAACATTTATTTGATTGCTATTGAGTGAAGTTGTATATTTTCTTGGCCCTGTCATTTGAGAAAACGGGTAATAAATGTAGCGCTGTCAAACTAACTCCCTGCTGTGCACCTTTTTTTTTTGACAGATAGTGATTTTTTGTTTCAAATTATTTTGGCAAATATTGGTCAATTGTGTCTTTCCTTCAGTAAAAATATTTTCATTTCAGATTATTAATGTTATTTGAAAACACGTATAGAATCAGTACTATTTCCACAGTTAATTGCTCAGGATCAAAGGGATAGTGCACCCAAAAATGAAAATTCAGCCATTATCTATTCACCCTCATGCCAAGGGAGGCTCTGGTGAAGTTTTAGAGTCCTCACAACACTTGGGGAGATCCAAGGGGGGAGTGGGTAGCAGCACAACTGCACACCTAATGGCTGACGGCGCCCCAGATTAAAACATCCAAGAACACATAATTGTAGCCTGTAGCTCTAACTGCCTCTCTGTACACTGAGCTGACATGTGTGCGCTTGCGTGAGACCGTGAGACATGGGCACCGCCTTCATGTGTGTTCACGTGCTTTGCTGGCCTTGCGGGCAGTCAGAGCTACAGGCTACAATGAGGCTAAAAACAGAGTTCAAATGACATTTTTCAAAACAGCTTTTTATGTCGGGGCTTCAGGACACTTGGATCACTAAGGACGAGCAGTATGGAGATATTTTGTGGTTTCAAATATGTGTTCTTGGACGTTTTAATCTGGGGCGCCGTCAGCCATTAGGTGTGCAGTTGTGCTGCTACCCACTCCCCCCTCGGATATCGGAAGAATTCTTGAGTTATAGCCAAGAACATCTTTTGTGAGGTCACACTGACCTTGACCTTTGACCTTCCAACACCAAATTTCAATTACTGTATTCTTCTGTCCAAGTGGATGTTTGTGGCAAATTTGAAGAAATTCCCTTAAGGTGTTCTTGAGATATTAGGTCTCATTCATGAAACGTGAGCTGGATGAATTTGTGTGTTAACTGTTAGCAGAAGGAAATATGCGTATATTTCGGCATTCATCAATAGGTTATCTAATCTTTCCCTAGGCACTAACAAAATCTACACCTGCTTCTGACTGCTCATAGTGCTTGTGTAAATAAGGAATGCACATAAATATTGCTTGTCATTATTAGAAATTACTATTTTAATTCGCAAAGTCCCTGATTTGTGATACTGGACTTTATAAATAAAATTGATTGATTGATTGATTGATTGATTGATTGATTGTGCTCTATTATGTTCAGAATATGCAGATGCCTTTGAAACATGTAAGTTAGCATGAAAAGGTCTGGTTTAAACTGGCTCTAGTACAACAATCTAGTTACTGATATATCACTGACAATACAAGTTATATGTATTTACACAATAACTGTATTTTTATCATTAAACATTTCACTGTGCCATCTGATACTCCCACCCCACGCAGGTACTGTGAAATGTTGCAGTCCATTTGACAGAAGGGGTCAGATGCGCAATGCAGAGAATTCACAAGCACAGACGTGAGGTGGACTGGAGCCTGACTAGCAAAGTCAGGATGCCACAGCAGAACTCAGGGGCTCCTAAAAGTCAGGGTGGTGATGATGGTGGTTGTGATGGTGAGAGGTGAGGCAGACTAATGTTAGCAAATGAAACGTGCTGTATCGGCTCAGTTTTAAAGCTACAGTGAAGACACGGGTATCATATTAAACTAGAGGACCAAAGGCATTTGTTGACATCAACTGTGTTGAGCTATTTTCTCGGAAAGGGGGCCAAATAACGCTCCAAATTTATGCTAAATTGTGGTGAGGGAGAAAGGAACAGTGCCATTTTTTGAAATTAATTCTGTATAGTTGGGTCCCTAAACATCTTGCAGTTACATAAATTGGGTGTGTCTGGAAAATAGAGTTTACAGGCATACAGTCTTCACTATTTTGATTCTGCGCACAATTTGACCAGTATTTAATTAAAGTAAGATTTTTTTGAGCCATGATTTGAGCTTATGATTTTATACCTTGCAGTACTGGGTTGTTTTTTTTTGATATTACGTTTCTTTAATTATTCAGGCCATTTTTTTAACCAAGGTCTCTCCAGAGATGCAAGCAATGTGCTCGTCCCCAACAGACAGCTGTGACTGGGAAGAGCCTCCTCAAGCAGCATGTAAGTGTGTATTTCTGGATCATACTTAAGAGTAAGTGGAGTAATTAAGTAAAGACAACTGAAAAAAAGTTTTGAATTAAATATTCCGGCTACAGCTTTTGCCGACGCATAAAAAGGCATAAAAACTGCTGCGAATTAGGCTTGACCCCTACATTGTTTTAGCACATCATTGTTTAATTTTATTCCTCCAAGAGAAAGTCTATCTATCTATCTATCTATCTATCTATCTGCAATGTTAACAAAACCTACCAAGTCATGCCAAATGTAATATGTACTACACTGAAAATAAAGGAGTCTTTGGTTTGCCTTGAGCAACAACTTGCATTTTTATTACATGATGTAAAAATGTCTCCATAGAAGATGATTTATTGTATATGCATATTTTTTTGTTTAATGTGTTTAAATGTGATTTTAAAAAGGAATTTGTTTTCTTGCTTTGTGCTCAGATTATCAGCACCAAAGACGATTATTGCCAGCAAAACTGACACATTACATCAGAAACATTTTCAACCATGCACTTTTTTTTTAAAGTCATAAATATTTTATTTCAGACAACTTAAATGCAAATTATCATCCATTTCCTAATCAGTGATGAGATAACCATCACCATTAAGGCATTCATTTTAAATGATTAACAATGGTAAAGGGTGTATCCAGTACCTGACAGACATAAGATAGGTGAGCAACCTTTCCTAGACCCATTAGAACCTTGTTACTAAGGCAGATACCAGCAGGCACAACCACAGTGGCAGTGACAGGGTTAAGGCAGGAGGGCCAGAAGAAGGTACAATGGAATGATGGCACCTGCCCACATTTCCGACTTTATCTACAGCTACAAACTCAACAATCTGGGAGCAGCAGGAGGCAGTATAGTTGGCCTGAATGATAGGAGCACTCAAGGAGGTGGTTGTGAGGTTTCCACTGCCCTGTCGAAGGGAAATGCGCTCTATCCCGGTGCCGTTTCCATCTGTAAGTTTGGCCATGAGCTCCCACTGGAAAGGTCCACACTGAGACAAGTCTTTAGGGCAATCATCAGACAGCGCGCTTAACACTTCACACAAAGGCTGAACAAAATCAGTAATCTGGACAAAGAACAGGAAGAGAAAGGTGAGAAATATATTATAAATCACAGGCTCACAGCAAATGAGATCTGTATCCTACTTGTATATCTTAGTGTGCAATTGTATTATCCATCTTTCTTTTTTCACTCTCAACTGTGTAATCCTGAATGCATCTGTTTACCTTGGTAACAACAGAGAATCTCAAAACGACATAATTGGAGTCGACACCACTGGACGACTTGGCTTCAACAGTCAGTGTGACATCAGTGCCCGATGGTGTCTTGGCAGGTGGTGTAATGGTCATAGTAGCATTAGTATATTGTCCAGTTGTCAAGGAGAGCCTGTCAAGAGAAGAGAGAAAGATACAGTACACTCTATGACTACAGGAACTATTACTGTGAATAACCCCTGCATTTTAATTGAAATATTAAGAAGCTTGAGGAGGTTCACAGCCATCTTAACTCAGATAGCTCACATTAAACAGGTCAGATAGTAACATTCAGGTGCACGGGGCGTCAGTGGCTTAGTGGTAGAGCAGGCGCCCCATGTACAAGGCTGTTGCCACAGCGGCCCGGGTTTTACTCCAGCCTGTGGCCCTTTGCTGCATGTCACTCCCTCTCTCTCTCCCCTCTTCACGCTTGTCTGTCCTGTCAAATAAAAGACTAAAAATGCCCCAAAAAATATCTTTAAAAAAAAACAAAACATTCAGGTGGACGATGATGAGGGAGAAGGAGTGGTGACAGATACATAACTCCAGTGGAGAAGAGAGGAAATGTCTAATCATTTTGTCTCATTGCAAATTTTCGCAACACAGAGAACAAAAAAAAAAAAAAAAAAACACATCAGACTCAGTGTGCAAGGTGTCTGTGCATTATTTTGTTTTTACAGTTAAAAAAACGCATCTGAAAAAACTGACTCAGTGTGCTAAGGCCTTCAGAGACATGTCAGTACTAATAAGCATGTTTAGCAAAAGAAGTGGTTTTAGCTGCTTCCCCTTACTTGTCTGGGTAGGACATGGGGAAGTTTCTGTCATTTCTGGCGCTGATGGAGTACTGACCACCAGAGCCCTGGGTCATGACACTGAAGGGGAGCTTGAAGGTTTTTCCTGGCTCCACACTGCTGCTTACCACAGCCTAGAGGGAAATGGAAGTGAAGAGCAAAGGTGAAGAAACAGGTGAAGAAGAGTGATATTGTTCTTACATGCTATAAACGTGTTACCTTTCTTTTGTCTTATTTTAAATCAAATATAGAAACAAATGTTGTGAGAAGGACGTGAAGAGACCGACCTGGATATTCACTTTGGAGACGGACATCTGGGTGGTAGACTGCCTCTGAAATTCACTGTCTGACACTTTGTCAGTCCCTTTCAGGATGACCACAAACTCCCCCTCAGGGACTGCATCAACAGTCACCAGCATGTCTCCGTTGCCGAGGTCAGTTGTTGTGCCATTTCTAACAGTCTCAGGACCAGACACAGTTACCAGGGCAACATGTCCTATGGTGATGGAGGACGGACCTTTCCTACCCATTAATGAGAGCATCAGGGTGGCTGGGTGGCCTGGGTTTTCAGAAGAGAGAAGTGAGGAAGTAAGGTAGGGGGAAGAACACGAGGAAAATTCATTTTCATAGCAAAAGCAATTGACTGATTTAACTCTAACAAAGAATAGTTTTGGAAAAGGATGCATTAAAAGATATAAATCCCTGCTACCAAACATCTCAAAAGGTCCAACAGGAATTCTTAAGAACGCCTTCATATTTATGATTGGTTATCACACATAATTACTTTGAGCCTGTACAAGTACAGTTCATGAGGTGCTACTGTTGTTAAACAGCAAAACTGCTTTATTGCAGGTACTGTACCTGCTTGTGGAC